CTCAGGCTGGTATGGTAAACAATGAAGGAGCTTGCTGCTAGTGAGAAGATTGCTCCAAGCGACCCAGTGCTTCCATGAGAGAAAGACCCGGAGATCCGATTCCGTAAAAGATTACAGTAAAAAAAACCCTATGAGCAGTTCCACTTTGTTACGTGGGGCTGCTATGACCCAGTAGCAAGCCTCGGGCTGTGATTATTGAAGTCATTTATCTATTAGCATGTTGCTTGTCTCACTACTAGCTTGCAAACTCTGAGAGAGCAGGGATCGTGGTGTGTCTAGCTTATCACTGTATTGCCAGCACCTAGTAGAGTGCTAGATCCAGAGGCGATAAAGGCACCTGACATTTGTTGGAGAAGGAGCCCTGGTGGCATAGTGGTTATACACGGGGCTGCTAACCGCAAGGTTAACAGTTCAAACTCACCAGATGAAGCTTTTTGCTCCTGCAAAGATTCAGTCTTGGGAACCCATGAGGTCTGTTCTGCACTGCCCTGCAGAGCCTCTATGAGGCAGAAATTTGCGCAATGAATCAGCAAAGCCTCTCTTGTTGTCCTGGGAGCAGAGTGGTGGCACTTTGGGTTAAGCATTGGGTTGCTAACGAAAAGAAAGGAAGGTCAGCAGTCCAAACCCACTGTGGGAGAAAGAGAAGCCGTCTGGCCTGGAAAGATTTTGTCTCCGAAACCCTCAGGCGCAGTTCTACCCTGCGCTGTAGGACAGCACCTAGTCAGAATCGACTGGAAGGCAGTGGTTCGGTTTGGCGTTGGCCCCACTCGTCATCAGAGTGAGACAGGGCCGTGTCATGGAGAGACCCCTGGCCCAGGACTCAGGAGAAACCATGTGGCTCTGGGCCAGGTGCTTTACAGGTTGACCTCTCTTTCCCTGTTGGAAACTCACAAGTTGATTCCGGGCATCAAATAACTGATGTAAAATGTGCTTGAAAAATTAAAAGTAACAAAAAAAAAGGAAAATTAAAAGTGCCTTAGGAATGTGAGCTGGTATTATTAGACTCTGGGTCTGTGCCAGGGAATTTGCTTGGCCTGGAGCCCAGTGAAAGTGAGCCGAAGGCTTGGTATACCAACAGTGGCTCTTCTTGCTACTACTGCAGTGCCTTCATTCACACCAGGCAGGCTGGCGGCAGGCCACAGAGAGTGCAGGGTATGTGCAAGGAAGCCTGGGACTTGTCCAAGGTCATGTGGGTCCCACCCACCCTTTTGAGCCCAGGCCCTTCATCCTAGATCTACACTAGGGGAGGGTGCCTCCTGGGGACATAGATTTGACCTCTACACACCCTTGCTACCGGATTCTTTTATTTCAACCCCTTGGGGTGGGAGTTGTGATTTCCATTTCCCAGATCAGGAAACTGAGGTCAGCCTTGCTGCAGGGTGCTGGATTAGGGGGAAAACAACCCCTCAAAATTAAACTCACTGCCACTGAGTGGATGCCAACACATAGGGGCCTCCCTGTGGGTTTCCAAGGCTGTAATTGTTCACTGGAGTAGAAAGCTCCGTCTTTCTCCCGAGGAACAAATGGTGGTTTCGAACTGCTGACCATGCAGATTCGCAGTCCAGTGCGAGCAGGTCTGAATCTGGAGCCTGTTTAACTGTTCCTTCTCTGTGGGAAAATTCCATTATCTTTGGTTTTCTGTGTTTCCCATGAGCTTTTGAAAGCCCCTTCATACTGAGTGCCTCCCAGTGCCAGGAACTGTGCTGGGTGCTGAGGACCAAACAGAGCCCCGCCCTCGTGGAACTTACCATCTGAGGACAGGCAAGAACCCAGCTCCACTAGCTGAGCGTGGGCCTGGGTGGGGGACAAGTGCCGAGGAGCAGAGACACCCCAGGGAGGGAGGGTGATGAGTGGTGAGGTAGCACGGAGGGTTGGACGTCTAGCTTGGCTGGCCAGGGAGGGGACATTTGAGCCAGGACCTGATCATTTTTGTCCACCTTTGCACAATGGAGTGCTCTGGGCCTAGGAGGGATGTGTGGATGGTGGGGGGAGGGGGGAGGGGGGGAGGGCAGGGGGAGTCTTATTTCCAGGGATGCAGCTCCAGTTCCCGGCTGCGCTCCCTAATTTCGGGCTGATTATGTGTGTGTTGCAGCATTGTTTGGTCCCAGCTGTCTGGCACCCCTGCCTCTCCCCGGTCCACGGCTTCCTGTGGCTCCAGACACTGAGCTGCCACAGCTGTGCCGACATCCTCTTCCCGGCAGTCACGTGTCAGCCACATTCCCCGATATCCCGTTGAATGGGAGTCGAACTGGTCAGGAGGAAGTGGCACCTCCTTGGGGTTCCAGGCCAGAAGGGCCACTGTGTGCATCCCTCTTGGGTGCTCCTCCACTTAGATCTTTGGAGAGATGGGGTGGGCTCACCAAACCTGACGGACGACTGTCTTCCAGGCCCCGACATCGATGCGGCCACCATCCAGGAGGTCAGCGAGGCGGTGCTGGCCCTGTGGCTGCCCACAGACTCCGCTACGGTCCTGCAGAAGATGAATGAGATCCAGGCCATCGCGGCCCGGCTCCCCAACGTGGACCTGGTGCTGTCCCAGACGCAGCAGGATGTGGAGCGGGCCCGCAAGCTGCAGGCTGAGGCTGAGCAGGCCAGGTAAAGCCCGGCTCCCAGCTTCTCCCCTGCTCAGGCTCGGCTGGCTGTTTGTGCCCCAGCCCCGTGGCTGGGAGCAGAAGGAGAACTTGCGCAGAACGGAGGGTGTAGTGGGCTAGGGGTCAGGAGGAGATTGTTAAGGGATGACCAGGGTCTAGTTGAAAATGGACTTGGATGGGCCTGCCATCCTACTGGAAATGATGTCGTAGGAGGGAGGTCTTAGGCACAGCACCTGCGTTCATGGTGTCTCCTCCAGGGGAGTCCTAGGATGTAAAAGCAGCTGTTAGCACAGTCGTGGGCTCCTTGCCCTTTGTCTGGGCTGGAAGAGTCTTCTCTCGGATTGGCTGTTGAGGAGAATCACACATGTATCCACTGACTTGCTCTGTCCTGCTGCCTGTTTTCCCCTGCCCTCCCCTCTGCCCAGGACCCGGGCCCACGCGGTGGAAAGCAAGGTGGAGGACGTGGTGGAGAACCTGCGCCAGGGCTCTGTGGCGCTGCAGGAAGCTCAGGACACCATGCAGGGCACCAGCCGCTCGCTTCGGCTGATCCAGGAGAGGGTTGAGGAGGTGAGGCTATGTGGCTTCCTTCCCCATTGCTCCGCCTTCCCCACCTCACGTCTGGAGACTGGACAGCCGGACACAGGCCGGGACATGGAAGATCCCAGATAGACACTCAGAAGGACACTGAGCCTTTGGTTCTCTGGTCTCGTGGCCGAGATGCAGAAGCTAGGGGTGGACTCTGAGTCCCAGAGGGGAGGGTTCAGCCGAGGAAGAGGTCTGGAAGTCCATGGGGCAGCCAGAGGACCGGGAGGTGGGCCACCTGGGATTTCCAGGGTGCGGAGAGTTTTTGCTGTATGATAAGTTGTATAAAAAGGGAATGGTGTGTCATAAGACCACTGCATCACAGCTTTGATCTCCACTGGCTCTCTCCGTAGGTCAAGCAGGTTGTGGGGCCAACCGGAAAGCTGGTGACGGCCATGACAACACAGCTGAGTGGCTTCTGGGCGCAGATGGAGGAGCTCCGTCGCCAGGCTGGGAAGCAGCGAGCCCAGGCGGCAGAGGCCCAGCAGCTTGCTGAGGGCGCCATCAGTGAGGCGCTGAGCACTCAGGAGGTACAGGGTAGGGTGGAGGGCGGGGCACTGCCAGAGCTAGCAGGTGAGTCAGGGGACTTTATATACCCAAAGGCAATGGGAATAGAAGGAGAAGGGTCTTTAGGAATAACCCAAACCCTATCCAGCATCTGGATCTGCCCCCGCCACCCACTCTGGGCTGCTTTGGAGGATGGTCAGGCTGCTGCAGATGACCTGGGTCAGGTCTCCTTTTACAGGTGAGGTGAGGACTTGTCCAGAGGCCCAAAGCTCAGTTAGCAGCTAGTCTAGACATCTAGTCCAGGGCTGGTCTCACTGTACGGGGCCCTGTCTTGGCTCCCCGGTCAAGACAGACACTCTTAATTTAGCTTAATCCCATCACTGTCAGAATTAGTCCAGCAAGAAGATTCATTCAGAACGTGCTTCATGCCTTAAGTATGTCATTTGCTTTCCCCTGGTCCTTGTAGACCCGTGCCATGGCCACACTGCCACATAGGGTATGTGCCTGGCACGGGGCTGGAAGTGACGTGGGTAAAGTGGTAGGAGCAGGGAATGGGAGGAAGGGAACTAGAGATGTTTCAGCCTTAGTCTGTGGCCTCGAGGTGTTAGAGGCAGAGCAAGCCTATTGGGGTGTATTAGCCAGGTGCCATCAAACTGGCCCCTTCAGCCTTTTAGGTGAGCGGAGAGTCATACGCTATAGGGCTTTCAATGGTTGGCTTTCGCCAGCCTTTCCTAGGTGTGCTTGAACCTCCAACTTTGGGGTTAGCTGCAGACCACTGACTTTGGGTGTTTGCACCACCCAAAGACTCCACTGGGGTGCTATAGGGGGAGGCCCCCTGTCACTGTGTGTTGCTCTTGGGGATGTCAAGCGGGTGATGCTGATGGCAATACCGAGACCTCTCTACCTTTTCCAGGGGTTTGAGAGAGTAAAGCAGAAGTATGCGGAATTGAAAGACCGGTTGGGTCAGAGCCCCACGCTCGGGGAGCAGGGCAGTCGGATTCTGAAAGTCAAGACAGAAGCAGAAGAACTGTTTGGGGAGACCATGGAGATGATGGTCAGGATGAAAGGTGAGGGGATGGTCCCTGTCCAGAGCTTCGGAGATCAACTCTGTGAACCATCAGTGCGAAGGGAGCAAGATTCGTCAGGATTCACTGGTGTAGCGGTTACGTGTTGGGTTGCTAACCATGAGGTTAGCAGTTCAAAGCCACCAGCAGCTCCTCGGGAAGAAAATGAGGCTTTCTATTTCTATAAAAAGTTACAGTCTGGGAAACCCACAAGGGAGGTTCTTCCCTGTCTATAGGGGCACTATGAGTCAGAAGTGACTTGAAGTCAGTGAGGGCATTTTGGTGGGAGAGTGGGGTGGGGGTGGGTGGGGGGTGGGTGGTGGTGGGGGGCGGAATGACTACAAGGGCCACTGAGGGGCTGTGTGGAAGCCAGAGACGATCCCAGCCCAAGAAATGGCCCTGCTCTCAAGCTTGAAACTGAGATAGGGTCATTTCCCCCACATCCTGAAAGATGGAAGCCACTGTATGTCACGGAACAAGGTAGGGGCCTGACAACTAAGTGTTCCCGGGCTTCAGAGGAGAAATCATTTCCAAGGAGGAGTGTTCCAGGAAGGCAATGCTGAGAAAAGGTCAGGCTGGAGGTGGGTCTGGAAGGAAGCGCAGGCCTGGGAGGGACTGAGAGCGAAAGGAGGCTCTTACGGAGCTCCTGGGAAAAGCGGCATGTTCTGAGGATGGGTGTGGGGCCCACGGAGAGCAGGATTTGTGAGCAGGAGCCTGGCCGGGGGACCAGCAGCTGCATCTGCAGGACTGGCTCCAGGGTGGAGAGGAGGAAGGTGAACCAAAGCTGGCTGTGGGGGCGTAGCCATCGAAGGCACTGGAACCCTGTAATGAAAAGAGGCAGCTGAGGTTCAGGTAGAAAGGGAAACCGGGACTTCTAAGAACCAGGGTCTCTTCTCTAAGATGTGACGATGGGGTCTGGTTGGTGTGCTCGGTGGCTGACACAGAGTGTCTGAATTGCATCTACGCTGTTAACAGAGTCTCTTTGGGTGTCCGGTGGACACCGGGAGAAGAGCGGCTTGGCAGATTGAGCAGATGTGAGGCTGTGGCCAACCACATTGGCCTTGTACATGAGACGATGAGGAATCATGTGCTTATCAAGTGTGTGGAGGGCGTGTTGTTAATGCACCAGCAAACAGACCTCGGGCTCCAGGACAGTCTCCAAAGTCTGGAAGGTTGTCCCAAAACAAACAGGAGGCAATTAAATAAGCAGAAACGTTTCACTCCCACACTGGCCTTGTCTGATGTGAGCATCCAAGTGCATGTGGCTCAGGTGAAGCGTAGCCTGTCGGTGTCGAATGCTGCTGCCAACACTTCCTCCGCGGGAAACAGTGAGCCGGTATCAGGTGTCCCTCACCTGAACACGGCTCCAGAGTTCCCAGGAACGATGAGTTTGATGGAAGCCAGTGGTGTCTTGCTACTGAGCAGAGAGCCAATAAAAACAACGCAAAATGAGACAAGGGACAGCTCAGGGATAATATTAAACACATTTCACAACGGGTGTGACATGTGCCACCCACCCAGAAAAGGCTCAGGCTGTAGCATGGGACAGGCACTTCTCTGCTGGCATGCCCTATCTTTAATCACTGGATGACATGGGCCTGGGGGCATTTGGGTTAGAGGTAGGAGACAGTAGTAATGGAAACGTTTCAATATTTTGCCAGCCTCGAGGTTCTGATGATGTAGTGGGTAGACTTTGGGCTGCACCCTGCAGCTACGCTGAGGGAGAAAGACTGGGCTTTGAACTCCTATACACAGTTACAGCTTTGGAAACCCACAAGGGGCTGCTATGAGTCAGCATTGGTTCACTGGCAGTGAAACGTGTGTTGTTTTTCAATAAGTTTATATGTGTGTCCACAGCTTGACGATTAGCCGAGTCATAACCCCTTTACCTTGTGCTGATAGAATTTTCCCTGGGTGGGTGAGTGGGTGGGGGGTGTTCACGTGGTGGCCACCATGTCTTCTGAAGGATGCCAGGCCTGCTCACATCAGGGGTCTGGGGGAGGGAGGAGCCTGGATGAAGGAGATGGGCTTGTGAAGGGCTGCCAGGTGGGCAACTGGACCTGTCGACTCCTGCTCCGCCAGAGAGCAGACATTTGGGGGGAAGCAAGAGGGGGGTCAACTCACTGGAGCTGGCTGAATTTGGAACTTTGTGAGACAGTGCGTCCCCTCCCCAGTCCTGAGTGGTCCGGGCTGACCTGGTGACAGGCTCTCGTGGATGCTCGAGAGGGGACAGGAGGAGCCGGTAGACTGGGCCACCTTGGATTCCTTCAGGTCCTGGAATAACTGGGTGGTACAGGGAAGACTGGTTTGATATGGAGTGGCATCTTAAGGCGAAAAGCAGGGAGGGTTTCTGGACCCTGGACGGTTCTTTTGCCAGAGTGACCAGTTGGGAGAACTGGTGGGAGGGGAGCTGCCTGGTTACCTTTGGCTGCCTGTGGCCTCAGACTGAAAGAGCCCAGAGCAGTGGAGGGGCATAGGGACCAAGGACAGGGCTTCGGGGTCTAGTTCCTACTGGATTTTTCTAAGGGTCGTTTGGGGGCGTGGAGAAAACATTTTGCATAGCATCCCAATCATTAGCGGACAGGCCAGCCTGCCCTGGAGATAATTTCTCCTGAACACGATGCTTCGTTTGAGGGGAAGAAAGGCTCGGGAGTAATAGGCTGTCTCACCAACTCCCCCTCCTAAGCTGCTGTCCCATCTGTCCCCAGACATGGAGTCGGCCCTTCTGCGGGGGAACCAGGCCGTCAGGGTTCGCTCTGCAGACCTGTCTGGGCTGGAGAAGTACGTGCAGAAGATCCGAGACCACATCCACGGGCGCATGCTCTACTATGCCACCTGCAAGTGAAGCTCTGCTCCCAGTCTCTGCCCCACGGATCTCCCCAACGTTGTCTTTGGAGGGCAGATCTGGTTGGAATGCTTCCCAGCTCCGTCTTCCAACTTTGTCTTCATCCTGAAGCCCAGCCTGTGCCCTCCTTGGGCTGCGGCTGAGCCTGAGTGGAGGGGGCATCTCCAGGGAGGTGCAGAGGTGGAGGCAGGCCTGTGCTGTTGCAACCTGGAGTTCCCCCCACACCTCCCTTCTTCCTTCTTTGACGGTGAATCTTGGACCAACATAAAAACTTAGCCACAAGTCCAGTGAAAATCTTTGGAAGGAAATTTAGAGGCTCAATAAGGGAAAAATGGCTTCTCTCTTGATTTGAGTCTTTATTTACTGCTTCTGCCTCCATCCGAGTCCCTGGGTGGCCCCTCTGTGTGGGCTCAAGGCCTGGTATGTGAAGCATAGGCCACCTCCCCCTCAGCTCTGTCCTATGTCCCCATCACCTGGACTTAGGTTGGCTTGGGACCTGGTGGCTTTGTTCCTGGACAGCCAGGGAACATCTTCCACCTTTGCACGTTGGTCCAGCTCCTCATTTACAGACGAGGGTAGGGATTCAGAGCAACCGTGCCCAAATCCACACAGCTCCTCAGAACCAGTACCAGGACGAGAATCTCTGTCTCTTGGGAGCCCAAAACTATGTTCTAAACAGATGTGTGTGTGTGTGTGTGTGTGTGTGTGTGTGAATGGGGTTGGGGGGGGGTAGGTAGGGGAGTGTGGAAATGACATTAAAAAATGTATGCTTACCATGTCTCAGGCACTTGTGTAAGGCATCATCTCAATAATCACTTCCCTACCAATATAAATTATATTAACTCTTTATGGAGCACGGGGTAGCGCTGGTGGTGTCGTGGTTGCTTGTTGGGCTGTGATCCACATGGTCAGCTGTTTGATACCACCAGCAACTCTGCCGGAGAAAGACTGGGCTTTCAACTCCCATAAATTGTTACGGTCTTGGGAACCCACGGGGGTTGCTATGAGTCAGCTTTGACTCGATGGCAGTGAGTTTGGTTTTTGTATTTTTGGGCATTTGGGTAGGCACAAGGATTCCTTTTGGCACAGTGGGCTAAGTTTCAGGCTGCTAACCTCCAGGTCAGTGGGTCAAACCCACTCGTCGCTCTTTGGGAGAAAGATGAGGCTGTCTGCCTGCTCTCGTAAATAGTTAGTCTGAGAAACCCGAAGGAGCAGTTCAGCTCTGTCCAGCACACTGGATGCTCTCAATTCTCAGCGGTTTCCACCTGCTCTCCACCTCTCCATGCACCTTCTAACACTCCTCGCGGGCTCCCGAGTCCTGATCTGCTTCTGTCTTTGGAAAGAACCAACTGAAGCCTCGTAGAGAAAAATATGTACATTTTATTGAGCACAGCAGTGAGCATGAAGCTGGAAGGGGTGATCAGAAGGGGAAGCCGGGGAGGAACCTGGATGTTGGGCCAAACTCTTCTCTGCATGAGATGGGGGCAGAGGCGGGGTTAGAATGACTGCTGGGAAAAACAGTCAGCTTCTGATGTTCCCTAGAATGGGGGTGCAGGAAGGGAGGTGGGCGAGGATGTCATGCCACCCAGTTCCTGGGTGTGGTTTTCTCTCTGGGTCACCTTGGAGGATGTGAAATTGCATTTGGACTGGGGCCTGTGATGCAGGTGGTATAGTGGACCAGGGAGCCGACCAGCTGGTGCCCCAGCGGTGGGTTGGCGGGGGAGCTAGTCCTGGGTTGGGCATGAGACTGTGGAGAGCCCACAGGTGGATCCCGGAGCTACCAGCATGCATGCAGATGGACCTGGCATGCAGCTAGGTTACCGAGCCTATAACGGACGGACGGGACCACAGAGGCAGGGCAAGTGTGTACAGAGCAGGGAGCTGGGACAGTGCCCCGTATGGCTTTGCTTGAAGGAATGACAGCCTGGCCAGCCCATGAAGCTGTTCACGACAAATGACACAGACCCGGCAAGAGCTATCTAGGCACACTGCACAGAGCCACAGCATGTGGGGGTGGGGGCACAGAGCAGGCTGGTCAGGGAGACCTGGGGGCCCATGTTGAGGCTCCTCCTGCCCACAGCTTCTATGGGGCCTCACACTTGGGCGCACTCCAGAGACACCTCTGAGGGTCTGCCCCTGGGCAGCTGCTGTCTGCCGCTCTGGCCAGAAGACGTTCCTGCCAGGGGCTGCTCTGCTTGCTGCCCGCTCCTCCCTCTCTGCAGGGCAGGTGCCAGGCTGGGAAGGGCAGAGGACGCCAACGTCTCTCCTGCAAAGGAAAAGGGGCCCAGGTGAGGATGGGGCTGCTATCTCTCCGCCCTCCCGCCTCCCAGACCCCACCATTCGGACCCTAGGATGGAGATGTTCTCCTCACACTCCCCTGCCCGGCATCCTCCTGCCCCTGGACCCCGCACCTGAAAATTGCTGTGACACAGGCAGAGGCTCCAGGGATCACATGATGAGGCAGACCCCAGTCTGCCCAGCCCGGCAGTGGGAGCTGCCGCTGGTTTTCCCTGGCACCAGGACCTCGGATTTGAAATGTCTGGACAGGAGAGGAGAGGAGAGAGGAGAGGAAAGGAGGGCAGCAGGTTTGGATGGGTTTGCAGAAGGAAGTGGAGCAGCGGGTGGGGGCTCTGGGTGAGGGAGTGGCTCTCAGCGCCTGCCAAGTGGACTCAGGCCCCCCTCTTTATGAGCTCAGAATGTAGAAGGCCCCGCAGGAAAGACAAACAAGCACCCTTCCACTTCTGCCTCCCAGACACAGAAGTCTCAGCAAAGCCCAGTAGCCTGTACACTTGCCGTGCCTTTGCTGAAGCACAGTGAAGGTCAACCCACCCGTTTTACAGTGGAGCGGAGGGGAGGAGAGACCGACATTCCCTGCCTGGCCAATGGCACGCAGCTCTTGAGTGGCAGGGTCTGTGCTGAGCCCAGGTCCTGTGATCCCTGCACGCGTGCTCTCCTCACCTCATAAAAAGGTTTCCCAGCAGGATGGGCCCCCTCCTCATTTCTTTAAGTCCTGTTGTTTGAGACCCAGGCTGAGCAGGGCTAGCCCTCCCGGGTGGGCTGAACTACGTACTGTTTCTTGTTGGCCTTTCTGAAAAGTGTGGGCTCCGAGCAGTAGGAGGATTTCCCTCTGGTCCCGATGTTCAGGCAGCTGGAGCAGCAGCCACAGGGTCCCATGGCAAGGGGTCCCTGCTGCATGGGCACCAGGCTGCTGCTGATGCGGAGGGAGCCATTGATGAGGCAGTTGAGAGACCTGCCTCCGTGGATGGCGGGACAGGGGCTGTGCTGGCAGGGTAGCCGGGCCAGGGCTGGGAGGGCCACATTCTGGTCCAGGGCAGGTGCCTCCGTGATAGTGAACTCAGGGGAGCTGGGCCTCGAGGCTTCCAAGACTTGAACAACAGGCAGCCGGTTCTCCACCTCCGGGCAGGGTCCCGGGCTGTGCAGGTTCATGTGCAGCTTCTTCATGTGATGCACCACAGCTGCTGCATTGAAGGCTTGCTAAGGAAACACAAAACCAGGCGCTTGCTGCCCCATCTTTCCAGGGCATCCCATCCTCCCAGGGTGCCCCATCCTCTCAGGGCGCCCCATCCTCCCAGGGCTATGGGCTCAAGCTTTCCTGTTGCCCTGTGGCTTCCTAGTATGCTTTCTTCCTTTGTCAGAGAGGGCCCAGGGAGCACCAGGGTCTGGTCCACGGTGAAGTCCCGGGGAAGGGCCTGCACCAGCCCCTACCCCACTCAGCCACGAGGGGCCCCCTCGAACAGCCTGCTCCCACCAGAGAGGACAACTCACCCTCCACTTGCTTTTGGCAAAGTTTTTCTGGATTTGCAGGCTGACTGATGGGTAGATGTCCCAGTGGAGGGCTGTGTTCCCATCGATCCTGGGGGGCAGGAGGGGACAGCTGGTTAGAGGGTGGTTTTGGAAATGAAGTGGAGCCTGGCTAAGGGGTGGAACACACAGGTCTAGGTTTAAAGCTGGGTGGATTGCCCCAGGAGCAAAGTGGCCCACTGCATAAAAGGCTTCAAACCCAGGGTGCCTCTGTCCCCCAAGGCAGGTCATAGTGGGCTTACCCTTTGGTAAACTCAAAGACTTGTTTTAGAGCAGGGGTGGCAGTTGATGGTGTCACGGGAACACAGCCTTTGGGCTGCTAATCACAAGGTCAGCAGTTGGAAACCACCAGCTGCTCCTCAGGAGAAAGATGAGGCTTTCCCTGTCCATAAGCACAGCCTCAGAAACCCACAACGGCAGTTCCACTCTCTCCTCTAGGGTCACTCTGAGTTGGCATCGACCTCATGGCAGTGGTTTTCACTGAAAGAGGTCAGCAGCGCTGCTCTTGAGAGCACCTGGGTTGTCGTGATCCTTTAGCTCAAAACCTGGTTGGGAACCCATCTCCTCTGAACACCTTCCGCAGTCAGGCCCTCCAACACGGACTGCACGCCCCCGTCCCTGGCTGCTGTCAGGGGCCATGGGGCTACAACCTGTGGGAGTGGGTCTGCAGGGGTTTCTCCAGAGAAGGCGCCATGTGGGTTTGAAACGACAACCTTTTGGTTAGCAGTGAGCACTGCACTCTTCTGCTTCCTTCAGGGCTCTCTGCCCCCTTTGCCCCTTTTTATTTACTCATCTCAGAGTTTCTGACATTGACCTTGTGCCCAGCCCTGTAAGGAAGGTGGGTCCTGACCCAAGGTGCTCGCAGCCTAGCTGCAAAGGCTGCTCCATCCATGAGTAACAGTATTCAAGGCAGCGATGTGCCAAAGAAAGTGAGCTACAGCAACTGGGTTGAGGCCTGGGGCTGTAGCAGGTTAAGGGTTGGGTTGGCAACCACAAGGTCAGCAGTTCAAATCCCACCAGCAGTTCCAGTGGGGGGTGGGGGGACCGTGAGGTTTTCTGCTTCTGTCAAGGTTTCTAGCCTCAAAAATCGACAGGGCCAGTTCGACTCTGTCACACAGGGTCGTGATGAATCAGAATCAACTCCATGGTGGGGAGTTTGTTTGTAATAGGAAATCAGAGGAAGCCCTAGTCGTGAACCTGGCCAGCATTTGCATGTTCAAGATGCTACCGCAATACACAGCTCAGGGCAAGAGGATCTCCCGGACCACAGAGTTAAATCTGCAAGGTTTGGGGAGACCCGTGGACAGGGTTTGCAGAGAGCCCCCCAGCACTACTCACTCACCAGGGGTGCCTCAAGGCCTTCTCACAGGTATACCGCTCATTCGGGTCCTTCTCCAGCAAGTGGCAGATGAAATCTTTGGCTAGTGGGAGCAATCAAAGACACGGCAATTAAGGACCAAATTTCATGACTGCTGGAAACTCACTTCCGGGCTGGTGGGTGGCAGCGAATACATCTCTAGCTAATTTTCCAAAGAAGCAACTTTAAATGTCTTAAAAGGGAGTAGGGAAAAAAGCTCAAAAAAACCAAACCCTCTAACAACAACCCACTCTAAACCACCAAAGAAAGAGGCTTTAAGTAGCCTCACTCACCCACACAGTGCTGCAAATCCGTCTCTCATCACGAGGCCCCCATGTGCCTACTTACCATAGCAGGCGTGCATTTGCACAGAGTTGGGGCACATGGGTATGCATGTGAGACGGGCTTCTTCCAGCATTCCACTTCATCCCACTTAACAGGCCCCACATGCCTGCACCGCATGGCCTACCTTCTTGCATATGCATGCATGTGGAGGCCAATCCCTTGGTTTTGCTAGTCCCACCTGAGATCTCATCCAGACTGCCTCTCCATCCCAATTTACCGGGCATCCTTTGGTTCTGCCTCCAGGGAAACCATTACATGATCCAGAGTCACACATGATTTCCCTGGCCTTTGAACCAGAGGAAGATCTCTCCACTCGCCTTGGCAGCCAGCTCTATAGAATCCCCGGGGACTCTCAGGAGCTAGGGCTGTCAGCCTTTGTTAAACTTGCTTCTCCTGGCAGTCCCTGTGTAGAGCCTGTTATTTCGTCCTTCACGCCCACTGGACTTACCTGACTCAGAAATATCATCCCAGAATGGAGACTCAAATTCATAGTATCCCTCCTTGATTTTCTCGAAAAGCTTAGACTCTGTTTCCTCATAGAAAGGGGGATACCCACACAGCCTGTAGTGGAACAGGAAGTAGAGGTGCTCATGAGCCATCTTGCCCTCTCTTCTCCTTCCTCCTCTGCCTTCCTCCAGATTCCCCCAGTTGTACAAGCAAGAAGTGAGGAGACCAGGAAATGGCTCTGACGCAGCACACTCAGAAGAGATACAAAAGTCAGGAAATGAATAGGCATCCCTGGAAGATCCCACCCTCCCTATACTGCCTCTGATTCTTATATAATGTATAAAAGATCTTCAAGAAATCAGGTGGCGCCTAGCTATCTGAAAGACAGTGTCTGGGGTCTCAAAGGTTTGTCTTGAAACAAGCAGCCGCCTAAGGGAGGTTTCAGCTAAGTCCAGATGGAAGGATCAGATCAGCCTGTGTGATCCAAGGATTAGAAATAGTAAAATCCAAGAATAGAGGAGGGAATTCTATTAGAGCTTAAACTCTGAGCACCAACTTTGCACAAGGCTATGGATGTTAGTGAAATCCCCAAATCCATTTGCAGAGTCCCCAGTTGGATTAAGCCTCCACTGCACTCCCAAAGGCGGTTGACTAGGGATGTCAATAGTCTTGCCCTCAGACAGAGTGCATGGGAAAGTGGATTACTGCAGAGATCGTTCATTTAAAATTTAACATTATGATAAATTGTTTTCCCTTTTGACCCATTTTAAGTTTGTTCTAGCTCCCATTATCTTCCGTTTTCACTTGGATCGAGGTTTTTCTGTTTTATTTTGTTGTCATTGTTGAATGTTTTGGGTATTTTTCTATATATCAAACACAGAATAGGTAAACCTATAGAGAAGATAGTAACTAGATTAATAGTTCATGAAGAAAATGCTCTAAAGTTGATTGTGGTGATGATTGCACAACTAGTTTAATATATTTAAACCACTGAATTGTATGGCATATGACTTACATGTCAATAAAAGTATCAAAAAATAAAAGATCTCCAAGAAAGATGGTGGAACGCCCACGTGAATGTGAGCTTCATGAACGCAGGACTTTTGTTTTCGTATGTTTCATTCCTGCTGAGTTTGTTAGCACCCGGCCCGTGATGGGCAGAGAGTAGACTGTTCACGCACATTGGTTGAGAAAAAAAATGAATGACGGAATGATTGCAAGTCCTTATTGATTATAGCTGCGGGCATTGAGAATTGAATCCACACAGAAGGTAAGCAGCACACAGCAGATCTATTTCCTCGTAGCTGCTTGATGCGGGCAGGGGGAGGTGACAAGCTCTGTCAGATGTCATTCAAGATGACCTCCTGCCTTGGGCCAACATCACAGGAAAGAAAGCTGAGGTGCTGGCTCCACGTGGCTTCAGAGCCTGGCTCACTGTGCTTTTTCTCACTGCCCGTTCTGTGGGGTGGAACTGGGCACATTCATGTACAGCAAGTGGGGTGGGGTGCAGAGGGACAAGTGTCAGGTCCCTGAAAAGTGGCTCACCCTGAGCTCTGAGTTGGGAACTGGGTGGGCATCAGGACAGAAGAAGTTTGGGGGCTGTGTTCATGAGTAAGGATGCCTGCGTGTGCCCGCAGGTGGGCCCACATGTGTGCATACACACCTCCTGCACTTGCTTGGGAGGTGGATTCTGCCAGAGGAGCGGAGATGGCAGCGGGCAGAAGGGGTGGGCAGGCTCTGATCGCTCAGGCACTGAGCCAGTGCTTCTACTCACAGTATGTAGGTGATGACGCCAATGGACCAGCAATCCACAGCCTTGCTGTAGGGCTTCTGAGCCAGCACTTCGGGAGCTGCAGCAAACCAAAGGCAGTGTCATAGCTGGGGACAAGAGGACAGGGCTGGGAGCAGGGGGCAGGGGCAGGGGTGGTTAAAGGCCAGGCAGAGACTTAGAGAAGAAAACTAGGACAGCTCATGGATGGTCTTAGTCCTAGGAAAATGACAACTCCATGAAAAAAGCCCCCAACTAGACTAAATCTTCCGGAGAGCTAGAACTTCTCCGTCAGACCCCCGGGTTCTCAGCCAGGGGCTGTGACTTCCCTATCAGACCAGGGACTCTCTGAAAGCTGGATCCATTGCTTTGATCTCAGTTGGGAAGCCACCAGGCAGGAGCGGCTTCTCTCATTTCAGAACTGGAGGTCACCAGTGTTGGGGGTGTCTCTCTCTCTCTCTCTATAGATGGTGAGCTCCATGAAGGCAGAGGCTGAGTCTCCCCACTAGGCTATGAACTCCCAGGGGGAGCTGCCCCAAAGCAGAAGACATGCTTTTCTCATGGGAGAAAGGGGAGCCCCAGGCAACAGAGAGCTGCCATCTGTCTTCAGCCCAGAGATCAATCGGCTCAGTGTCTGCTGGGGAGTGTCCAGTCTGTCTTCTTAAGAGATCGCAGCGTCTTCTTCAGTCAGGACCATTTCCTACTCCCTAGTCTCAAGCAGATGATTCTTGGCTGAGAAGATGTGCTGGCTCTCAGGAATACTTTTCACCTCTTATCCTGCCTACTCTGACCTTTCAGAGATCCCGGGAGCCTCCAGGGCCATTCAGAGAAGAGGCCCCGCCTCTGCCGGATTCCTGGCATGCAGCCCTGGGTGTATGTCTGAGGAAACCACCTTTGGGTTCATCAGGTCCAAGCTCAACGTCTTCCATTTCCAGGTGCCTAAGTGTGGGGAATGGAGCTCTCTTCCAGAATGGGAAGGAGGAGGTAGGGCTAGTGCTCCAGGTCTCAGCTCTGGTCTGTGACCAGCTGGGAGGATGAAGGAGGAAGCCTGTTCACAGAAGTGAAAGCCAAAGGACAGACAGGACCGTGAGAAGGAGCCCTGGGTTAGGCTAGCCTTAAAGATGGAGAATTTGGGAGCAGGAGCGGTGGGCTTGGACCCATGGTAGTGAAGCTGATTATGCTTTGGGCTGCTAACTGCAAGGTTGGCAGTTCAAAACCACCAGCCACGCCTGGGAGAAAGATGAGACTTTGTACTCCCATAAAGATTTACGGTCTTGGAAACCCACAGGGGCAGTTCGACTCGATCCTATGAGGTCACTATGAGTTGGGATCAACTCAATGGCAGTGAGTTCGAGTGTGAGTGGTGATTTCAGAAAAGAAGGACTGACTGGGCCCAAACCTTAGAAGTGAATATTTTACCTGCATTGACCCTACAATTGAACCCGGTCTCCTGACAACTATCCCTGTCTGTGATAGAGGACTATCTGTTCAGTTGCATGTAGCCAATTGGTCAGACTCCCTCCTGACTGCAGACTCACCTACATAACCTGGGGTCCCACAGGCAGTGGACATGACGCCGCTCTGTTCCATCTTGGACAGACCAAAGTCTGTGATCATGATCTTGGAATTCTCATCCGGGGTGAGGTACAGCAGGTTTTCAGGCTGGGATGGAAGAGAAAGGTCACACAGGGCAGGATGGAATCCCTGGGAGCAGACAGCTCCTTCCTTTCCCTGATCTGTCCTTTCTCAGGACCTTGTGCCCAGCTTCCCTCCTTCTCTCTGCACCCGACTCTGCTCACCTCACTGTGATACCTGTCCTCATCTTGTGCATTCCTGGCTCCTCCATCCCCTCACCCCCAAGTAACCTCAGCTGTTAGCTTTTTGAGGGAACTAATACTTAGGTGAGAAGTCCTGGTGGGGCAATGGTTGAGAATACAGATGCCAATCTAAAGATCGGTGGTTCAAACCCACTCAGCAGCTCTGGGGGTCAAAGTACTGGCTCTCTGTTTCTGTAAGGATGGCAGTAAGGAGACCCTTGGGGGAGTTCCACTCTGTGATATGTGGCCACTGTGAGTGAAAGTAGACTCCGCGGCACACAACAGCTCTTGGCTAACGATCTCTGAGTTTTCCAACTCTGGGCACGATGCCTGGTGCAACATAGACCATCAACAAGCATGTGGTGCAAGAGATATGAGTGCTACCTTGGTTTTGAATTGTATGAGGCATAGTGAATCGACAGATCAAGAAAAGGCTAAGGTGCAAATGGATACCGACATTTCTCAATGAATGCACACATTTTAAGGGTTTCACAAACCACATCATCCCCGTGTGGGTAAGTCTCCTCCATGTGTTGTGTGGGTTACATGTGTGCACACGTTATGTAACGGTTGTTCAATCATTCAAGATTTGTTTAGAGGAATCTGGGGGCAGGGTTGGGGGAGGTTGTCTTTGGAACCAACTAGTCCAATGATCTCATTGGCTCCCTGAAGGGGCACTATCAGTTTTCACCAGAGGAGCCCTGTCTGGGCACCTTTAAGTCTCTGTGCACGATGCCATTCTCGTGGAGGTACTTCACGGCAGACAAGACCTGCTGGATTACCAGGCTGGCATCCTTCTCCGTGTAGACACCCCGCTCTAGGATCCGGTCAAAGAGCTCCCCTCCAGAAACACTGTGAGCACAAGGGCAAGCAGAAATGAAGTTATTCTAGGTCTAAGGAACCAGAAGGTGTTTTTCTGTGAGCATGGGGCAGATGCCCATGGGCTGTGATTTGTGAGCTATGGGGAGAGGTGCTTATGTCTGTGCTTAGAATTATATTCCAAGTCATTTTTCTCAGCCAAGCATTGACCACTCCTTTAAAAGGAGCATGAGCCTCATTCCTTAGTGGAGAAGCCACTCATTCCTTAGCGAGAACACTTCTTAGCAGTTTTGCTTTTTGGACTAGGACAAAGGAAGTCACGATGTAAAGAAGAAGGGTGGGGTGGGGGCAGTATAAATGAGGAAAAAAGCAGAAGCTCTGGTGGCATAGTGGGTTAAGTATTGGGCTGCTAACCACAAGGTCATAAGTTCAAAACCATCAGCTGTTCCAGAGGAGAAAGATGAGGCTTTTCCCCATAAAGAGTTACGGTTTCAAAAACTGACAGGGGCAGTTCTAATATGACCTACAAGGTCACTGTAAGTCACAGTGGACTTGATGCCAGTGAGTTTGAGGAAAGAGAAGGTTAAATAAAAAACAAACAAACAAGCTAACGTTTCTTACGCCAGGATTTATCACCACCACTACCCCCTTTCTAAATTGGGATTCTAAAAGCTAGATTTAGGTGGTGTGGGGCAGTAGGGGTATTTGGAGAATAGTACAGTGTTACAGGACTTACGTCAACTCAAAGATCAAGTCCGCTCCTCCTCAACCCCTTGAATACCATTTACACTATCTTCCCAAGAAGTCTTTAAACTAATACTGGAACACCCCAGCGCCAGAATCCACTGCTTCCTGAAACAGACCACTTGCTTTGAGGAAGCTTCTTAATTGTTCTATATATTACAACAACATATATTTCCCAGTAGCTTTTAGCAACAGCTACAAATACCACTATTGGGGCCACACGGAATAAGCATACCATCTTATATACATGAATCATCTCAAGTGTTCGAAGACTGAAATGCTGTCCTCAAAGCTTTATGCTTTGCCAGGGTCAGCATCTCCTCAGACTACTTCAACCAGGCTTCTCAATCCCCTCCCCATTTCAGCCCCCCGTCCCCAACCACCCATTACATGAGATGTGGGCAGGCGCATGACAGCACCATGCAGTAAGGAGGGAATTTAATTTCTTCCATCCAAATGCACGCCATCTTACTTCTTTTGTTTATACCTGTGAACTCTGAGCTCAAAACCACTGTAGGTGCTAGAGGCCCACAATCAAATGGTCTTTGTGCACTACTGTGTGCTCCCAACAATGAGCAACATGCACTCTTAAAGCTGATGTCCTAGGAGGCTTGGCAGCCACTCAGTGACTTCCAAACCCACCCACGTTGCTGCCTGCCCTTTGCCGTCCAAACTGGTGGGCTGTTTTCTCACCCTATTGGGGTGGATTCATCAAAATGGCAGATGGTTCTTACTCATTTGTTAGTGCTGCTTTGGGCCTCCCCAGGACAGTTTTCCTCCTGCTCCCTTGCTTGCCTGCTATTTCGCTTTGCTGTGCTTTGAGGGAGCCCAGAGATGACAGGCTCAGGACTCATTTAGCGCATTAAAATTTCAGGCCATCAGAGGGATCTGATGAATTGGTCCAAGAGTAAGACACCGCACTGCAGTTAGTCACTGAGACTGTGTGTGTGAGAAAGACTGTGTATGTAGGTGTAAAAATAAGTGCATGTGCGTGTTTCTGTACATGTCCTTTAAAAATAGAAAGGTCTAAGCCCAAGGCTGGGCCCTGGGGAGCCCCTATCAAGTCCTACAAGTGCTGTTCTCCATCAAACTCTTCTTTGGACATTGCAACGTCCCAGACATCCTTTGAGTGAGGCACAGTTTCTGTCCTACAGATAGACAGACTTAATCACAGCCTGTTTTTAACTTGGTCGGCTCTCTTCTGAGCGAGTCTTTCTTTATGTTGAATGGCAATCTATATACCTGTGGCTTCTACTCCCACAATAATTTTACCCTGGAGTGATGTGAAAACATTTAACATCCCATTTGATGGAAAAGCCTGGCACTAGAGAAGGGTTTTGCAGGATCCCTGCTGTGCCAGGCATGACCTCTTCATGAAGTTTTTGGCTTATGGAAGGTTCAGAAAGTTCTAGGGGAAGGGCTGGAGCAGCAGGGAATCACGGGTGGGCTGGAAACAGGTATTTATTGATGGCTAAGGCGTGTTCTAGCAAGGAGTAGGCTGTACTGTACGAACTCAATAATCAGCCACAGTTGTAACTCTCAGCCCCCCAAGAACGTGCTCCTGGCTCGAGGTACTCTGAGCCTAAAGGGATTCTGCACATTCCAGAACTTCCTGAACCGATTCTTGGTTCTAACTTCCATGCATCACCCTTCCCTCACCACCCGCCACCCTTGAGTCCCTGTGCACCCATCTCTCAGGACCGTTGTGGAGACCACAGGTCTCTTTCACTTACAGCTGCATGACCAGATAGTAGTGAGTGGTGCTCTCATAGATGTCCTCCAGGGTCACAATGTTTTCATGCTTGATCCTGGAAATAAAGTAAATATCATGGAGAACGGTATGTGATTCAGGCTTTCCAAACCAGTAATGCAAAGGCAGCCCAACCAGGCTTTCACTTCTAACAGAGGCGTTTGCGACTGTGTTTAGGGAGGCTTTGTCATAAGAAAGTGTTCACCGAAATCCCTGAAAGAAGGTCGAACATGATAGTGGGACAGGAGGAAAATAAAAGGAAATAGAGGAATGAACTAGGAGGCAAAAGACATTTATAGAGGTATAAATATATGCATGTACATATGTACATATATTAATATATAACAATAGAGATGTAGGTCTATGTACATATATTTATATGTTAAGTATGAAGGTAGCAGATGGATATTGGGGTAGTACTCAAATCCTCCCTCCATGCAAGAGCACTTTGTTCTAATAACCTGGCATCCTGTGATGCTCACCTTTCCAAAAGGATCACTGAAGACAGAATGGGTGCATATGCTAATGTGGTGAAGAAAGCTGATGGTGCCTGGCTATTACAAGATACAGTGTCTGGGGTCTTAACGGCTTGAAGTTAAACAAGCAGCCATCGAGCAGTGAAGCAAGACAGCCCACATGGAAGAAGCACACCAACCTGTGTGATCATGAGGTGTTGATAGGACCAGGTATCAGGCATCAGAAGACTTAATAAACAACCATTTTGATGCAAACGAGGGGGGTCAGAATGGAGATGCACCCTGTAGACAAAGCCCATTTGTAGACAATTGGACATTTGCTCACAGAAGGGTCACCAGGAAGGGATGACTCAGCCAGGGTGCAGTATAGCACCAACAAAACACACATTTCTCTAGTTCTTTAATGCTTCTTCCCGCCCCACTATCATGACCCCAGTTCTATCAAATCTGGCTAGACTGGAGCATGTATACTGATACGGATAAGAGCTCTCAACACACAGAATCTAGGACAGATAAACCCCTCAGGACCAGTGAGGGTAGGGGGAAGATAAGGGGAGAAGGGGGAGAAAGGGGGAACCAAAAATAATGATTGACATACAACCCTCCCCCCCTTCCAGCGGGATGAACAACAGAAATGTGGGTGAATGGAGGCAGGGATGGTGTAAAATATGAAAATAAAAATAATTTATAAATGATCAGGGTTCATGAGGGTAGGAGGGGCCAAAAGAAGAGCTGACAAAAGTGGCTCCAGTAGAAAGAAACTATTTTGGAAATGATGGCAACATATGTACACATGTGCTTGATACATGATGTAGAGATTGTTATAAGAGTTGCAAGAGCCCCAAATAAAATGATTTCTTAAAATTTTTTTAAAAAGAGAAAGATTGCCTACATTTATAGGTTTAGTATTAAGGTAGCAGAAGGACATTGGGCCTCCACTCAAGTACTCCCTCAACACAAGAATACTTTCTTCTA